GCCTTAACCCCGAAGGTGCATTTCTCGGGGTTAAACCTCATTTTGCATTGTCTCGCTTGGGCGAAGACTCTTTTAAGGTGGGCAGCATGATCAATTTCTGTTCGAGATTTAACGATCATGTCTTCCATGTATACCTCGAGCATATCTCTGATCTCGTCGTGGAAGACTTTGTTCATCATCTGTTGGTATGTTGCCCCTGCGTTTTTTAGGCCGAAGGGCATTACGTTGTAGTAGTAGTTTCCCGAGCCAGTCACGAAAGCAGTGCAATGCTTATCGCTCATCTCGCTATTGGGATTTGGTTGTAGCTCGAATATGCGTCTATAAACGATAAAATTTTATAATCGACCGAGTTATCGACCAACATATCAATGTTAGGTAAAGGAAAAACATCTTTGGGACATGCCCGATTAAGATCGGAATAATCAACACACATTCTCCATTTTCCATTATCTTTTTGACAAGTACAACGTTTGATAGCCAGGTTGAATACTTCTCCTCAGAAATAAATTTTGCCTCTATGAGGTCTTTTACATCATTTTCAATAGCCTCCGCTTTCTCGAGAGACTGCTTACATCTACGTTGTACTACTGCCCTGGAGGCTGGATCAATGGCGAGTTGGTGACGGCAACCTCGAGGTCGAATTCAGGCATCTCCACAGTGCTCCATGCAAACAGGTTCGCGTTCTCCCTTAAGCAAGTTTGAGCTATCTCCTCGCCAAGTCAAGGAGTCCAGGCCGATCTTCACACCTTTGTGAGGGTCTTCACCGAGGGGGATGAACTCGAAGTCTCCATCTGGAATGGGTCAGAGAAGTTCATGTTTGTTGTTGGGGGCTTCGACTTCATCATTGTCAAAGCGGGAGTCGAGCGAGATGGTGTCGACCTTTGGTGGAGCCCTTTGTTCTTCTGTTCGAGCAGACTGTGATACAGGTCGAGCGATGGTAGCTCTTTTGGTGGGCCACGCTCCAGTGTCGACCATACTCTGCCCTTTGGAAGCCGCGTGAAAACACCTTCGGGCAGTTGAGATGTCCCTGTGGATGGTGGTGACGCGTCCCCTTCGGGTGTAGAATTTCATCTTCAAATGGACAGTGGAGGGCACAACGGTCAACTCAGCCAGTGTCGGTCTCCCTAGGATGTAGTTATAGAGAGATGAGCAGTCGATCACCAGAAACCGCACCTTAATCTGTCGGGAAGCAGTCTCTTCCCTGAAGGTGACAAAAAGCTCAACATAGCCCCACGGCTTAGAGGTCGAGCCATTGAATCCTTGCAAGTCGGACCCCACGTATGGCGATAGGTGGGTGTCGTCGAGCTGTAGGGTTCAGAATAGATGTTGTACACGACGTCGACAGAACTCCCCTCGTCGACCAGAATACGGTATACGTCAAAATTAGCCATCATTGCCTTCACTAGCAGAGGGATGCTCGAGTTAGCGGCCCCACCGGGCAATTCCTCCAGGTAGAAATGATTGGTTCATATTTTCCTTTGAACCTCTCGAGTGTCACCGCTTGGGTTGGGGTTGCGTACACCAGCTCGTCGATCTTCCTCTTCGCAGAGTTTACGGAGAGGTCGTTGAATCCCCCGCCAGTTATGACATGACGGAGGGGAATTTCTCCCATCTGCTATGTGGGGACAAGGGTTCATCCTTGTAGCTGTCGGGGAGGTGGAAGTCCTCTGGCCTTATCCGGGAGAAAGTTATTTGTATGGGGCCCGACTCATCCGATGGTCGGGTTTCTCCCTCGACTTCTTTCACCTCGCAGGTGTCTCGACGAGGGGTGTCATTGCGTTGCTATTGCCCGAGTTTGCCACCCTTGATAAGGGTCTCAATGGCATCCTTGAGGTTGACACAGTCTTCTGTCAGGTGCCCGTGACTCCAATGTTATTGACAATATTTTGTCTTGTCAGCCTCAGGCTTCGTAGGAGCAGGTCGAGGACGTCTGACGCCGTCGTCCTTGAAGTCATTATTGGAGCACTCCGCCAAGATGCACTCGCGGGAAACAGTCAACGGAGTGTACACTGTGAAGCGCCCTGTTGGTCCCTTGTGTTTGCAGAGATCGCGCGGCATATCATCCCTTCTCTTCTCGTCCTTCCATCAAGAAGGGCCCGCGTTTTGGTGTCGTGGGGCGTTAGCTTGTCCGTGATTCCTCGAGTCGCTGGCTCTGTTGGCTGCATCCTTCTCCTCGTAGTCCATGTTGGCTCTGGCTTTTTCGAGGAGAGCGTCGAAAGATCAGGGTGGCTCAATGTTGACGGCCTTTCTGAACTTAGTGCCCGAGAGGAGTCCTCTCTCGAGTAGGTACCTTTTCATGTGATCAGTGCACGAGACTTGAATGGCCTCACGGTTGAACCGATCGATGTATTCCCTGAGGGTCTCATCGCTTCTCTGCACGGTAGCTTCAAGGGCGACCTCAGTCTTCGAATGTCGACGAGACACGGTGAAGGAGCTGATGAACTGGTTCTTAAGATTTATCCAGGAGGTGATCGACCCTAGGGCGAGGTCCTTGTACCAATCCATAGCAGTTTTTCTCAAGGTCATGGGGAACAACCGACACTTGATTGACCCCCCGACGTTATGGTAATGGAGCATTGCCTTGAAACCGTTGATATGGTCGAACAGATCCACAATGTCATGGTATTCCTTCAGTTAGGGAGGTTTCTTCATTCCCCTAGGAATGGGTGCCTCCACGATTGCTTGGGATAAGGGACCGCGGGGGTCGTCTTTGTTGCTTCTATATGGATAGTGTGAGGAGGACCTATTGTAATGGTTGTGGTGATGGCCTTGGTCGAGGTTGTGTTTCCCCATTTCCCCTGTTTCTGTTTCCAGGGGATCGTTGTTCCCTGCGCGCAGTGGTGTTGTTGCGTCTCCCGGTGGTTTCGGGCAGCGTTCTCTCCAACGCGGGGCCTCGTCCAGTTCGTCGGGGGGAAAGGTTGCGATTTGTCCTGTCTGTGTCTCTGTGTGGGAGACTGAGGACGGTCTTCATTCTGACGGGGAGGAGGAGTGTTAGGTCTCCTATGTCTTCTAGGGGCCTGACGAGTCTGTTCGAGCACTCTTAGTCGCTCACCCTGCGAGAAAATCAAGTAGTTTATTTGGTTGATGGCCACGAACAGAGCCCTGGTCGTGACATCAGCGTCCGCGGAGACGAGGACCTCCTAGAAAGCATTTGGTTCATAGTTCTGGAGGGGATGGACATCCTCGTGCAGTCGAGAGTGGAATGACGAAGTGGCGGTCAGCCCATCTCTATAATTTTTCTCGACACCAGCCATATCGATATTGTTCCCGACGTTATTGTTACCAATGTTGTTGCTGACGTTGTTATTGAGGTCGGCGAGATGGGCGTTTTGGTTGTTATTGGCAACTTGGTCGGCCATGACAATCACGGAGTTTGATAGAGAGTTGCTTTGGTCTTGAGATGGAGACGGGGAAGCTAGTTTCTCACAGACGGCACCACTGATCGTACCTAACCAGAAGAGATTGTCAAAGCCTTTCAGCTTCGAGCCGAGCAACCGTGGAAGGTGGAGTAGGGGGTACCTGCAAGACACTCTGATGCCAAAGTGAAGTTCATAGCTTATGCAAGTAGTGAGTATGAGAGTGTGAATGAATCAATACGAATGAGAGGGTATTTATAGTCCCCAACGCTGAGCCAAGGTCTTCAACGTTGGGCCACGATGAGGCCAACAACGAAGACTGCTAGGACTTACATGTGTATGGAGTCCAGCACGTGGTCTCCTCCCTGGTCAACTACTCCGAGAAAACAAGTGTTGGACCCGTGATTTCTGGAGGGCAGTATGATGACGATATGGACACGTGGGTAACGTCTTTCTATCGGACACGTGCGAAAATGCCCAACAGTCTCCAACTCGGACAACATGCCTTTGGACCTTGGACAGCGACACTGAATTAGGCCTCCCCAACAGTAGGACAAGTGTTGGCCCAGTCCAAAATAATAATATATTTTTAATTTTTAAATATTACAATCGTATAGATTATAATTGAAAAGTTTATACAAATCTTTTAAAACTCTTCTCCAATATAATTTTTGAGTTGTTTTAAATTAGAGGTTTTTTGAAAAATATAAATTTTTATTGTATTTTTATGATATGGATCAAATATGTCAATGTGAATGTTAGATTGTTTTCCAAAAAACAATATGTGGTACAAACTCCACTACAATGTCAAATAAAGACGATGGTATTGTTATTTGAATATATTGAAAAATAAGTAAGAATTCTCGCTTTTTTTTAAACGTGTGTGAATAAAGATGTTCACAACAATAAGATTTATTTTAAAATACAGAATATATACTCGTTTGCAAGAAAGATTCATGGAAATAATCGATTATGTATATCACATTATTGAATATGTAAAAAATTTAAGTTTCATCGTCGCTTATAGGTTATAAATCCTAATACGAATATAAAGTGTTACAAAAGAGATAATCGATTAATTCTAAAGTGTTAATCGGTTATTTAATGTAAATTACACTCGTAAATGATTATTTGAGCTAGAAACGAAATAAAATATTTTTTTGAGATTTTAACAAAAATAAGAGAGTCCTCAAAAGCATTTGATGAGTGTGCGTGGGAGTTTTGTTAGTAATTTATGAAATACTCTTAACACTTATAATATTCATATCACTCAAACAATGTGTTAAGCGTGCAATCGACCATACCAGCTCTCAAAACTTTAAAGCATTATATTTTTTGCTACATTATTTTTAATTTTAACACTTAGCTGAAACTTAAATCTTCTCTATGATGAAGTTTGAGATAACTTCAGGATTAATATTATCATCATATAGTTGAAAAGATATCATTAGGGACTAACACGCTAAAGCAAAGCATCAAACAAAATTTCATCAAATATCGGAGTCATCATCAAAACCACCTACAAGCACATATATCACATTCTCTCATTTCTTATGAAGGTCGCGCGTCTCTTAGGGAGGTGGACAAAACATAAAAATTAATATGATAGATTGGAGTGGTTGAATTACCCATAACAAATATTAGAGAATATACTGTATTCTTTTTGAGAATATATTTCTTCCCATTTGACATTATCAAAAGGACAGAAAAATAAACACAACAAACACATAGACCATGTACATCAAATATAGAGAGGGAAGAAGAAGAAAGAGATGAGGCATTTAGCATATATTTATCTATGCATGATTGATTTAATATTCCTAACTCAGTACTTATGAAAGAGATATTTTCTTCAAGGATAGGTTTGGTAAAAATATTTGTGAGTTGATTATATGAAGACAAATTCTTAATTATGCAATTTCCTTTCCAACATGATTGATCTCTTACAAAATGATGTCTAACATTAATATTTGAGAGTGAAGTGTCTGATTTTTCATGAAGTTTATGGCGCTAGTGTTGTAGCATTTGATCGGGATAGCAAGAAGGTTAACTCAATAATCACTTAACTAGTGTTTCATCCAGATAATTTGCGTGCACCAACTATCTGCAACAACGCATTCTGGTTCAGTTATGGATAACACTACATTTACTTATTTCTTTTTATGTCAAGAGATAAGTGAGTTACCAAGTAAGTGACGTGTATCATTGGTACTATTCTGATCTAATTTGCACCTAGTAAAATTAGAGTCAGAGTACCCAACTAAAACACAATTCATCCCTTTCGGGTACCATAAACTCATATGTAGTATATCAATGAGATATCTCATAGTGTGTTTTACTGCAGAGAGATGTGATTCTTTCGGGAATACTTGAAAGTGAGCAGAGACATACAACAAACATAACATCAGGACGAGATGCAGTAAGATAATGGAAGGACTCAATCATACCTCTCCACTTGCTTTCTTCAACTGACTTTCTTCATTCATCCCTATCTAAATTGCATGATGTAGCCGTTAGAGTATCAATTTCATTTGACTTCTCCATACAAATTTCTTTAGGAGTTTCTTGTAGTACTTGACTTGACTTGACTTATGAATGTCCTTTCTTTTTATTTGTGAATTTGTAGTTTTAGAATGTAACGAAGCTCCCCATCATAGATATCTCAAACTCATTCTGCATCATATTAGAGAAATTTTTGCATAAGGATTCATTAAAAACATCGAATATAATGCCTACATAAATCTAAATAAGTAAAATGTTATGCTCAGACTTTTTAACAAAAAAGAGTTTTTTCAACTTATCCTCTCTAAAACTTGTTCTCAAACAAAAAAAATTCTTAGACAATCGTACCATGTTCTTGGAGTTTGTTTTAAATCTTATAAAACTTTTTTAAACTTGATATGATCAAAAAATGTTAAATCTATAAAATTCAGATATTGATCAACAAACAATTCCTCTTAGATGTAACTATGCAAGAACACACTCTTTACATTAATTTCTAGAAGAGTTTAAAATCCATGATAATTATAGACGAACATGAAATAAATCTCTCCTTGCATGAAAATTCATGATTAATAACCACTAAAAACCAACAATCGGAAAACTTTCAAAAAATTTGAATTCCCTCACTTGACTACTTGATAGTAGTTTTCCATTTTTATATTTAATTTGACATGCATATTCAAACAGAATGTATCATTTGATTTTAAAAAATCAAAGTTAACATACCAAGACTTCTTTGCGGAAATGTAAGCAAATTTAGCATATTAAGATTCTCTGCTGCAGTGCAGCAACATACAGATTGCACTTGAACTAATGTAGACAAACTTTTAAAACGCACTCCCTTCGTCTCCGTTCTTTTTTAAGTGTCGTTTTAGAAGTTTTTTTTGTTTCTATTTAAGTGTCATTTTTATAGTTTAATGTTATCATTTGTCAATTATATCTCTACTTTCCCAATAACTCCACTTCACATTTTCCATAAAATTAATTATTTTCTCAATTAGTTGTTGGAAAAAGAGAGATGGTATATGATTGAATTTATTTGGAAAGAGAAAATAAATGAGGGTATAATAGGAAAAATAACTCTAATAATCCACTATCTTGGTTGAAGAGCTTTATGCTAAAATGACACTTAAAAAAAAAACTGAAGGAGTATATATTAACATTCTAAATACATAAAGTAGCATTCAAAAATATAAAATTATATTCTAATTCAACTAAAAAAACTTAAAGGACCAAATTTTTAAAAAAAAAAACTTAAAGGATCAATCTATTACAATAAAATAATTTAAAAGACCCCTGAAATAATTATGCCAATCATTTATGAATGCACAGCAATGTAGTCAACCATGGATGAGAGAGCAATAGCAGCAGACTCCAAAAATACTAAACCGATAAAGTGGGTAGGTAGCGATATGGCTGCTTTCTCGAAGTTTAAGGAAACAATACAAAAAATTTATATCATACAAAAAATTTATATCATAGTGTCTTTTAACTTAATTATGTTGTATATAACTCAGTGGGTGGTAAACTAACTATTTTATTGTGTATTATAAAAGTGATACAATGGTATATGTACTAGATAGCTGAAATAATCTTTTTCAGATTCAATACCCATCTCTATTACTCGTTATAACCCCTTTGTTCTCTCTGATTTTGTGAGTGATCTAAATGCCTCTCCCTATTTTCTCTATGATTTTGTGAGTGATATTGATGCTTCTAAGTGCGTGTTGTAATAAATTATGTTATTCTTGAAGATAACTACTTAGTTTTTAAGGCCCAACAAGAGAAAACAGAACATTTGGAACATAACATCCCTATCTTGTGTTTATGTGCTTAATTGTTTTCTTCAAAAGGGTGCTTAAGGTGAGGTTAGAAATAGAGTTATGGTTTGGCAAGAAAATGGGAAATTTTGTTGATGTCTTCCACAAGGTCTTTCTCTCTCGGTATCTTTTACATTCCTTTTATTTTTTCTCAATTAATTCCAACTTGTATGAAGCAGTGCTCATTTCCATTTTCCTTATAGTTGACATTATCCAAACCCATTGTAAGAGAATACTTCAGTTAACTTAGTTCAAGCATCTGTAGCCAAAAATGGAGGAAAATAGACAAACGGTTGATTCCATGTTGCAATGGTTGACAACTCTTCTGGCACAACAAAATCAGTAGTAGTGACGAGGAGAATACAAAGGAGGCAACATAGGGATGACGATCGAAGGAAGAAAATTAGGACAGAGAGACGTGTTCTATTTGATGGGTGAAAATCCACATGGCTGATATGTATTTACATAAAAATTAGAAATTGACTAAAACAAATGGAACAAATTACAGAGTGTGGATACAAAGAAGCACGAATACTCAACACTTTGTTACATTTCATAATTATATTTTTCTTCAATTTTTGGAGCTTTGTATACTAGTATAGATGCGAAAAGTGTAGTACATTCATTCATCTAATAACTAGTAGTAATAAAATAAACGATAGCATTTCATTATGTCTATAATGACTCATGCTAACTTTTACTATACTTTTTTCCCTCTTTTAATATACAATCAATTGTATCAATTACAAGGCTCGAAGACAAGTCATATTATATCTGATTACCAATGTTTCTAGCAGCCAACATTCCCCAAAAAAAGGCCCAACTACGTATTGCATCGAAAAACAACAGCACAAAGTAAAACACCAAATCTATAATTTTGAAGATGTAAAGTAATAACATGAAAGCATCAATAGGGGGGATAACCAACCTGCATACTAGTTGAGAAACGGATGAATCTTCACTAAACAGTATTCTTCGTAAATGACCTTTCTCTGCTTTTAGACAGTCTTGATCGTTGCGGTGAACTCCTAACATCTTTATATTCACCTCGTGTTTGTATTCTTTTAGAACCTTTTGATGGATTTTTCTCCCAGGTTTTTCGTGAAATCTTCCCACCCGGTCTCTCTCTAACAGAATCTCTCGAAGGTTTCTTATCACCTAACTTCATTTCCACAAAATTTCGTCCCCTTCTGTTGGCAGAAGATCTACGATTACCCCTCGAAGACTCCTCTTCGTCATCATCAACGACAGTTTCACTAGCATCCTCAGCTTCAGAATCAGACAACTCGGAACTCCCTTCTTCTTCTTGCTCCTCCTCACAATTCTCATCACTGCCACGCTTTTCCTCACCTTCCTTTCCTTCACAGTCTTTGACATTACCCTCTTTTGCGCTGCTTTTTCCTTTCACATCCTTTTGTTTTTTGCTATCTTCCTTAACAGTGTTCATGAGGTGAATATACTTTCTCCTAAACTCCATGGCCTGATTATCTTCAACGAGCAAACCCCTCTTGTAACCCTCCCTAAGAACAACAGTGTAGGTTCTATTCTTAGAAGACAAATAAAATATCCCCGGATGCTGCAAAACAGCTCTCTTAAATCTCGACGCTAAACCCAACCACTCACCGAGCACCAATACATTATCTTTATCAGTTTTCTTAGAAACCAATAGGTGAAGAATCTCATGCAAAACACCAACAACCCATCTATCAGATTCATCACTGGAAGCCGGAAAATGACCAGCATTTTCATACGGCGACACATAAGGCAATTTATTCCATTCTCTTAACCATTTCTCATACTTGTTATCCATCTTAAAACCAGTCGAAAACTGCATCGGAAAAGCCAATATTTTCCCTTTACTAGCCATTTTTTTCTCCAACACAGAAACAGCAAGTTCCTTGCTCCAACAAACCAGCTCCAAAACAGCATCCCCACCCGTTCCAATTACCCGAAAGTAATCCGGAAATTCAGGAATCATGGATTTGGCGTAATCCTGAGGAAGCCCAAGGTCCCACCTCAAACCTTCAATGACTCTCAATGGAATCTTATGTATCTTTGAGATCATCAAAAGCTTCAAAAGCCTATCAGCAACTTGTTGCTTAAACATTTGGCTGTTATACATAAACCCTTCCTCAGCGTCGAGTTCTACGGCTTCGGGAGTGAGTCTAACATGAGGTTCAAATCCACCACCGAGGTTGAACTCTGCGAATACGGAAGGGTACTTCCGGACGAAATCTATGGGACGGAAAGGAAGCTGGATGGATTCTCTGATTAACGAAACGGGAAGAGACTTTGAAGGCTCGTGTTTGATTAGGTTTCGGAGATTTAGCAACGGTTTGAGATTCTTCTCTCGTTCGACGGCGTGGTCAAGGCCGCGGTCTCGGACTAGGGTGAAATCCCCATCGAAGAGGGTTCGGAGGTGTTGACGGTGGGGAGGAGGAGGAAAGGCGGTGGTGTGGCGGGGGATGAAGACGGTGAAACGCATTGCTCCTCTGTCTTCTTTCGATGGTGAATGTGGCCGGCCAGATGCGACGAGGAGGTTTAGAGTGTGTAGTGAATTTAGGGTTTAAGAAGTTATGTCATATTTTTTCTGTTGATAAAACTATTGGCTAAATTAATTTCGTTTTTAATTTTCAATTCAATTTTAATTTTAATTTTTCAACACTACCCTCTAGTTTATTATTTACTTATTATGTGTTTGAATACATTAATAATAAATGAGGATAGTTTAGTAAAAATATTATTCTCTTTTATTTATCATAATTTTTTAATTTGTATGAAATAATTGACTAAGAAAATTATTTATGGATGGAAGAAGTATTATTTTTATTACAATTTTTTAAAAAATTAAATTTAAAACATTGTACAAAAATAAAAAAGTTATAAGTTTTTGTTCACAGGCGTATGCAAAACGTACGTGAGAACTGACTCCTAATTACTATGACTTTCTACTATCAAATTTCTTTTGATTTAATTGAATCTCTTTCGGTAGAAATTTAGATCTCCTTCAATCGAAAGACAAATTTAAAATTCTGGCTGCATATTCAATGTCACGTTCAATGTTATGACACCGTATCTGACTTTCTATAAGACAGTAAATACAAAAACAGTAAAGAACACAGTCAATTGTTTACCCAGTTCAGTGTGCAACAACACCTACTCTGGGGGCTACCAAGCCAGGGAGGAAATCCACTATAAGAGATATTAATTTAGGAATAAACCAACCAGTTTATCTCCTTCACTTAAGACATACCCAATGCAACTTCAATCTAAGTACAACTTAAACCTGAGTTCCTACTCACTCCCCCTCAATCACAGCGGTGATACTTAAAACAATTGACTAATGAATTTATGAAGACACTCTTCAAAACATACACTTGATTATGCTTCACAGCTTTTTAATCAAGCAACACAAACACTCTTGCTTCACAGCTTTGAGTGGTACATAAACCTAACTTGACTTTGCTTCAAAGCTTTAGTCAAGAGACACAAAAACACTCTTGCTTCAAAGCTTTGAGTGATACAAAACCCTTACAATTAAAACCTATTCCAAGTCACTTATCACAATGATACTTGCTTGGATTACAATAGTTAAAACTATACAGCTCCTAAATGATCTTCTGTCAAAAAGGGATAAATTCCAAACAGCAGCCCTGTTGAATATATAGCAGCTGCTTCTTCAGTTAGGGTTTCCACAAAAAGCTAGGGTTAATTCCGTTTGACCTTAAGACTTGGTCACAAGACTTTATCAACTAGGTTAGGGTTGAGCTAGGTTAACCCAAAGACCACGAGAGATTCTGTTCTGGAAAGACTGAGTCATTTTCCTGAAAAATCTCAGAATTAACCAAACTGCATAACTGTTAGATTAGAACAGGATGTCTTAACATTTGTTATGACATCTGAATTCCTGTTTACTGATTTTGGTAAATGTGATCATTTTGCAAAATGCTCAGATACACACTCATAAACAGCAGTACCTGTATGCCATTATTTTTCTGCAAAGGTACCTAATAAATCAATACCTAATAAACTATAATATTATGACATCAGTCATGACATTCACACACCAGGTTTTACCAAAAATGCATGCCAATAACTAAACACCTACAAACTCCCCCTTTGGCAGATTTTTGGCTAAAGCCCCTAAGCAATCAGAGATAGATAGCAGCAGAATAAATATGACTGCAGAAAAATAGAATGTCTATCGAGTAAATAACCATCCACAGAAAATCTCCCCCTCTTTAGCCACAAATGGGCCAAAGATACATGTTCTTAAATGGTTATACAGTCATCCAGAAAAAGTAATAAAAACAACAACTAAAATCTGAACACACTTGCAAACTCCACCAGGAACCAGCATCAACTCCACCAACCTTTAAGCATTGTCCCCTTCAGAGGAGCTACTTTCTTCAATATTGAGTTGATCTTCAGCAGCACCCTCTTCCCTTCTGTTTCCTTCAGCTTCCTCCCTTTCTAACCTGACAATTAGGTTTTCTAGGGTCTTTTTCCTAGTCTCTAGCTCTTTGCAGGTCTCTTTCAATACAGCTATAACATCAGATGTTTTGGACTGAGTCTTTACAGATGATGTCTCAGCTGATGTTATAACAATATCAGGAACATGAGATCCCTGAAAAAGCTTGTAGTGTAACCCAAGAGCAGGAGCTCTTTTGCAAGCAGTATCTCTTGCCACCAGGATATCAGGGTATTGTGCAAGGATAATTCCACAAAGGAGGGAGGGAAAGGAAATAGGGCCTTTGACAACATAACTACCAGCATGTTTTAAAGTTTGTTCAAAAATATACCTGCCATAGTCAAATTCAGTCTTGGTTCCCACAGCATAAATAAATCTCCCCAATCCTGTGGAGATAGTTGATTTATGGTTTGTAGGGACCCAGTTGGCTGCACCAATCTTGTGCAGGATGGCAAATTTCATGCTTAGTTTGCTGGCATTCAGCTTGCCTTTCAAGGGCCAGCACTTGACTTGTCTTGCTGTGATGGTTTGGCATACTTCATTGTCAGTGACTTCTAATTCAGGGCAAGCCTCATTTGATCTTCCAAGAAATTTGTTAATTTCTGATGGAGAGAAATTAACCCTTCTTCCTCTAACATAGACACATTCAAAGTCAGCTGACCTTCCATCAGCACATTCATCAGACAAGTTAACTATGAACTCCTTGACCAGATTTTCATAGCACTTGGTAAATTTTACCACAATCTTCATCAGTCCAGCAGCTTTAATCAGGTCCATGATTTCCTTGCAATCCATGGCACCATTGTTTGGCTCTCTTTCTAAAGCTATTCTCTTCAAGCAAACATACTTCCATCTGTTGGCATTGTCAGGGTGGTGAAAAAAGATGTTGTCTGTTGGGACTTCAGGAACTCTAGCAATTTTGCTGGAAGGGAGTTTCCTTCTGATAGAAATTTCTTCAGCCTCAATTTCAAATTTTGATTCCTCATCAGAATCAAAAGACTCAGGTTCTTTTCTCTTCTTTGTAATTGGTTGTCTTCCAGTATGCACTTGGGTTTTCACCTTCCCTTTGGACAGACCAGTCTTCACAGATTCTACCCCAGTCTTGCCTTCAGACTTGGATTTCTTGTCAGCAGGTTTCTTTTTGGTCATACATTTTGCAGCATTCTAATTACCCTTTCTTTTCATCATTCTCCTGCTATGCTAGGGTTTACATTGGCAATTAGTTCATTGTCTGAGTATTCCTCATCCACATTAATAACAGGTGGATCAACAGTCTTCTCTGAAGGGTTCTGAATATCATCAAGGATTTCAGATGATTTCTGAATGTTGTCATTTGGTTTCACAACATTCTCAGAGACATCTGCATTTGCTTCAACATTTGGGCTTGCTGATTCTTGATTTAATGGGACAGAAATCCCCGGTACATAGTGGTTTTCGCTTAGTATTCTTGTAACAAGCCTAGCAATTGCTTGATGTACTTGAGTCGATCCTTCCCTATTTGGTACAGAATAAGAAGGATGAGAAGGATTACCGGAAGCAGTAGCTTGAGATCTTCCTGCATGCCTAGTTCTCAGCTTTTTGACTTTGGAGGGGTCAGTTGCCATTTCTCTGAGAGGAGTGATCTCCAGGACTTCATAATCTATGCATGTGGTGATTGCTCGAGAATCTTGGTCAGATGATGAAGATGAAGTGGTCGCCTTGGTTGAAGATGATGTTTGAGACATTTTGATTGACTTAGAGCACCAGCAGCAATTTGAGAGAAAACTTTGATTAAGAGAAAGGAATAGATTGCAAAGTCGAGAGAGGTAGGAGGAAAATGAGAGTCTATTCAACTTCTTAATAATTTTGAAAGAATTGGGAAAACATATGATTAACCCACTAAAAATAGACTTAACAAAACTAACTCCTTCAACCCTTGTTTTAAGCAAAATTAATTGCTATAATTTCTCATGTTGGCAAATACCCAACTTGCCCCTCAAGTCTTCAAATTGAATTGTATCAAGATCCTTGGTCAAAATGTCAGCCAGTAGAAGCTTAGTGGCAACATGTTCCAGATTAATTGTTTTCTCTTATACATGTTTTCTGATTAAGTGATGACTAATACCAATGTGCTTGAAAATGTTGATTATACCCAGATTGTCATAGTGCAATGTCATAACATCTTGTGTGACATTATACTCAGAGAGCATCTGTGTTATCCAGATAATTTGAGAACAGCTACTATTATCTGCAAAGTATTCAGCTCCACCACAAAAATGAAAAGGAAGTATTTTGACATGGAGCATAGCTCTGGCAGATTCCTGTATGGTCCTATTTTGTTGAGGAGTTATAGGAGAAGAGAATTCATGACTAATTCCTTCTGAGGAACAGAACTCATAAAACTTGTTGTTTTCAAATTCCTTGTCATGACCACTTCTGATTCTGACAATACAGCCTTCCTTTTCTTTTTGAATTCTTTTGCACAGTTTTTTAAAAACTTCAAACATCTCAGATTTTTCCCTAAAGAAGATAGTCCAGGTGAATCTGGAATAGTCATCCATAATAACAAAGGCATGTCCCTTTCCACCAAGACTTTCCACCAGCGTTGGTCCCATCAGATTCATATGAAGAAGCTCTAGAACCTTAGAGGTGGTCAGATGTCTTGACTTTGGATGTGACATCCTAGTCTGCTTACCAACCTGACATTCACCACAAACTCTCCCTTCATCAATTTGCAGTCTTGGAATCCCTCTGACTGCCTCCATGGAGATAATCCTTTTCATTCCTCTTAGATGAAGATGGCCAAGTTTCTGGTGCCACAGTTTCACCTCTTTTTCTTCTTTGGCAATGGACCACACAGTGGAGAAATTTGTGATCTCAGGCTCCCACAAGTAACAGTTGTCTTTAGATCTGACTCCTTTCATTACAACTTCTTGTTTTTCATTAATTACAAGACATTCAGATTTTGAGAAATTGACCTTGAATCCTAGATCACACAATTGACTGATACTAATGAGATTAGCAGTCAGGCCTTT